TGTCTACATCAAATAGATTTTTTAAATGTTTTCAATAATATAATTTTAAATTTTACTTTTGTTTAATTATAAAATAAAATGCTCCAAATGTATCATCCTTCAGGAAATAAGTGAATGCTTTCTAACTTGGGCCAAGAAGTCTTCTTTGAGATTTATTAGGCATTGTGCATTAGTATCATTTTAAGAAGTCTCTCTAAACATCCGAACACAAGCATAACTTCCACCAAGGGAATAAAAGGAATTGCTTTATAATAACCTTAGTTAGAGTCTCCTTTCTTATGTTCTACTTGTTTGTTTAAGCAGAGGGAAAGAAGAGTTGGCAAAGTAGCCTGAAGTATGGTGTCTGGAATCAGATAGCAACACTGAATGTCCAGCAGAGACAGGGAAAGGGAAAGGGGGTCAAACATATGGTGACAGAAAGAGATTTGACTGTGGGTAGTAAACAAACAATGCAATAGACAAGTAATATATTATAGAATTGTACACTTCAAACCTATATAACTTTATTAACCAATGTCATCCCAATAAATGTAATGAAAAGTTAAAAAAATAAAATAAAATGAATCACAAAAAAGTCTTGCTGTATTACTTAAAAGTCTGTGACTCTTGGCAAATTAATTGCCTGTTTGTATCTCAGTTTTCTCATTTATGTAAGCATTGTACCAAATGTACATAATTGTACCAGAATCATAGAGCCATTCTAAATATTAAATTATACAACATAAATAAATATTCAACATGCTACCTGCCAAATAACAAGGTCTTACTCAATCTCACTCATTATGATTATGACAAATATTTATTCATCCAACAGTATTTATTGAGTAACTACATGTTCTGAGATAGGGATAAAATGATGAGCAAAACAAGCACCCTGTCCATTGGGCAACTGTAGTTCATGACAAACAACAAAAGCAACATTGTTATTAATATATAACTATAAGCTACACCAAGGAATTAAAAAGTAGAGGATAGTTACTCAAAGAACACAAAACAAGAGGATAACATACTAAAAATGTTTTTAAGTAAACTTTTTGCCTAGGGGATCAATGAATGCTTCTCTGTGAAAGGTACAGAGATTTATACAAGTCATTTCAAGGATGAATAGGAATAAACTCAGAAAAGGGTGGGTTAAGGGAAGGAGAGTCGCTATACAAGAGAGGCAACAATTTGTGAGGTCCAAAGGCAGAGAAAAATGATCAAGAATGACATGAAGTCTTGAAGGCAAAGGGTGATGGGGAGGTTGGTGATTGAAGGGCTTCGATAGCAGACAAGGGACAAGTCATTAGGAGTTTAGATGGTCAAAGTATAGATTGATATCAGAGGATGGTAGAAATGTTTCAGGGGTCAGGGAGAAGAGAGCTAGGAATGTGCCAAAATAGTTCAGATTTTTATTTTATAATTTCCATCGACTCCAGTGAAGAGAATGGATTACAGGTGGCAACATTAATGAAGAAAGATGATGCAGATGGCAGTTGGAGATGTTGATTTGAAAGAGGACAGTGTCTTAGAATTGGTGTAGACAATGGAGATGGGAAGAAGTGGGATAGATATAAGGCAGACATTTTTCAAGTAGAAGTGATAGGGCTAGGTAGAATATTGAAAATGATGGGAAAGAGGATTTGGGCAAATATGATCCTGATTTCTGGGTTTGCACAAACCAATGCATGGAGAGCTTTCCTCTGAGACAGAGAAGAAGGACACTAAGCAAGAGAGAAGGAAGATTATAAGCTCAATTTTCTACATGTTGCATTTATATTGTCTCTGTGACAGAGATCAAACAGAGAGGTGGATGTGTGAGAGCATAGGTCAGTGGGAAGTCTAAATTTTGAATTGCAAATCTAGAAACAAAGTTTATGGATGCTAACTAAAACCTTGACATCAGATGACTGCACTCTGAGAATTGAGAAAACTAAAACAACAAGCAGTTAAACATGACATCTCCTCTTCTACTCACATCTCAGCACACTGCAAGAATATAAATATTTCTCTCTGGTTTCTTAGTTTACTACATATAGAATTTTGGACAAAACTGTTCACATCAAAACACAGAATGATCTAACAGCAAGGAAATTATACACTTTCCAACAACTAAGTTTGGACAGTAGAGAAAAGTGATTAATAACATAGATCAAGAGCTTATTACTGTAAAAGGATTCTTAATGTTCGAGGTATTAGAATACTGAGGTTTGTTTATGTATGTCTAGGATGCTGGAATAAGATAAAGGCTGGGTTTGGGCAGTAAATTAGTTTACCAGTATCTTCCTGCTACTTTTATGCTTCAACTCCATGATAGTTTTACCTTGCTAGAATTCTGAGAATATGGGAAACTTTCCCCTGAGCATCCTTCAGCTGCTGTTTGAACAAGTTAAATCAACTGAGTTAGACAACTGCTTATACTTGTCTAAAACAATGTTCCCTACCAGTATGAGACCAGGTGAATAATGAGGAGATCAGAATATGAAGAAAGAAAACAGAAAAGAGGCCAACTCTTGCTTTATATATGAACATAAATTTTAACACAGAAGTCAGAAATGATAAAAATGAATTACCAAATATCAAATCACTGACATCACAGTATAATGATATAATAATAATCCAAGTAATCAACATTATCATGCAGGATTCATATAGTGTATGTACTCATTGATCATTATAAACATTATGTAGATTTCCTGCAAAGTTGTGATAGAAACAAAAGTAAATCAACATTACAAATTATTTTGCTTATTATTTTCCATTTAGTATCTAACTTTGGAAATGTTGTCTCTTCTGTGATATGAACCTTTATTTTTACCACAAGTTAATATAATATATATTGATAATGACTAATTATTAGGTTTAATAGTATAAATTCAATCAATCATGAAAACAGAATCAATGTGTATGAAGGTTCAGGAACATATACTGTCATGAGAATACTGTCAGTGCCAACTGATTTGTCCAATGAGAAATTTAGATTAATCTAAAGAATTTAAGTATCAATAAGAATTTAAAAATAAAATTAGACCCATTCCAATAGTAAATATAATTTGAGGTGGTAATAGGCTTATTTTGAGAATACTTTTCTCTTATAAATCTTTGTTAATAAAAACACTGTTATATATTAAAAAATGAGGAACTGGAAGTTAATTATGATGGGTGTTTTCCCTAACTAAGCTATTAGTTATTAGTTCTATTTTTTATTACAATTTCTTATGTCATTATTCCATTAATATTTTCAAATACTCCAACTTACAAGAACGTCTTCAGAAATTACGCATGCAGAAAACCATGTTTATTTATAAAGCAAATTGTGTTTTTAAATGATCAAATATTAATATTCCCAGAAAGTCAAGTATTTTAAGCTGATTTAAAGACTTTACAAAACAAAATAATTCATCTACTTTCTTTTATTGAACTGAGTCACAATAATATCAGCTTCAATAAAGTAGTAATTAATAAATACTTAACCTGTCTTTAAATATATTAGATGAATTGCAAAATGTTTATGAAGGATTGCTCTAAACTAAAATAAAAGGTTTTATACTTACTGAACAAGAAGAAAAACCCAACATACTTTATTTTAAAAAAAATAATAGGTTTAAAACTCTAGGTAACTAGTAATTACATAAATAACTTTGTGGTATTATTGGTACCCAAAATTATAATACTTTTCATAAAATAATTAAATAATTGATACACTTGCATTTGGTCTCCTCTCTCTCTATATATATATAAAAAAAAACAACTTTGATATACTTGAAAAATGCAAATTAAACTACTTCTTTAAAAATTATCTTACATTATATTAAATGTCTTCAAATATTATGTGATCTTGTTCAAGGCTGTCAAGATTAAAATTTTAATCTACATAATCCATATAATTAAAGCAATTCAAGGATTTCTCTGTATCTCTAACCTCACATTTGTCAATATAATTAAAGTACACTTATACATATTATTTTGCTTTATGCATTCTTCTGTGATTTAACTGCACAATAAGCTGATTCAATCAACCAAGTTTAAAAAGTTGCTTCTGTTTCTAATTTGTTACTTAGAGGTAATTAAGTTTTATTAACATACTCATTGTAATTTCCTATTTCTCCTGTATTTATCTTCAATCATGTGCTCTGATAACATGAGACAAATGCAGATCTTTTCATATCCTCACTACATGCCAAACCTAGTAATGATGTAATGCAGAATAATGAGTCATTCTCCAAAATTGTAAAACTAAGAAGTTTCATGTGTGGAAAGATTTTCTATAAGCCTGAGAAGTAGGAGAACTTTACTCCAAGAGATGTAATATTAGAAATAAACAAGAAATAATGTTGGTCTGCTTAGTAAGGATCCACAATCCCACACTGAGCCAACAAATCAGGAAGCTGAATGCCAAAGGGCTCAGCAACAGTTTAATTCTAAGACTCTGAACAGGGCAAAAGTAAAGTAGGGTAAAAAGAGAAGTTGGGGTAGAGAATAACACTCTATTTCATGGAGCAATAAAAGAGAGAGAAGATGCTGCTGCTGTCCAGTAGCTTCCTTCTGTACACCTCATTCTTCCTGGAATATAAAGTTAAGCCACAGGGATCCCAGATAACCTGCTAAGTCAGGTTTTAGGCCAGTATATGAGATGTATTTGAGCGGTGTTTAAAGCATGTTTCACCTCACATCAAACAACTGGAAGACTGGTGTAATTTAATGACAGGTAATGACAGAATAATATATTCTCAGAAATATGGGAACCACTCCACCTAGACACTTATTAAAATGAATATATGTGTGATTTGTAATTACAACTCGGAGATCTTGAAAAGCAAAAGCAATATGTTTGAGCCGATAGAAATTAATGAACAAACTTTGAACGAGATTACAGCTTGGGTAATAACCCTGCTGACATCTCTTAACTAAAAATTTCAACCTGAAACCTTTCAGACTTAGTAATCACCAAAGCACAGAGGGGTGGGAGAAAAGAGTGAAAATTGGGAGTTGCCTGGATACCCCATGGGGACTTACTGTACCTGTGTCCACATCCTTCACCTGTTGCCTGGCTCGTGTTGGCCGGCTCCACTTTGAGCTCCTGCAGGACCAGCCCTTTTTCGTGTGGTCTAGGAAAGTCCATGCCAGGCACTTCCTCCTCCTCCAGGGACTCAACGTAGAACAGAGTCCTGGCAGGCGGTTGGGTACCCTGCCCGGGCACCCCTTGCTGCAGCCGCGTGGCCACTGGCAGCAGGGTACCATTCAGTGGGTTGAAGGAAGAGGAGGAAGAGGATGGGGAGGAAGACGAGGAGGAGGAAGAGGAAGGCTTCTTCCAGAATGTGCTCAGGCTGCCCTTCTCTTGGCTTTTGAGCAAGCGGCTCTGGCTGGGTCCCCAGTGCTCGAAACTGCCGCTGCTGTCCTGTTGCAAGCAGCCACCCCCTGCTGGGCCGCCGGGGGCCGGCGACGGGTGACTGAAGAGTTTCCAGCGGAGTCGTAGAATGTGTTTCACATCGAAGTCTTTTCGTCCAGAGCCCGACATGCTTGGCGCAAGGAAGGCAAAGAACCTCAGCAGGCGCAGAAGTAGACGCGCCAGCTGGTGGAGGAAGCCAGCGGAGCCTGGGGTTGGAGGCGGAGGCTGGATGCGCTCTCCGAGCCCGCGGAGCAGCGCGGCGAGGCGGGATGCGCGCTCTCCGGGCGACGACCTGAGCGCGGACGGCACAGCTGAGCGGCTCAGCCGCGGTTAGGTCCGCGGCACCTGCGCGTGGGGAGCCGACCCGCCAGGAGCACAGGCAGGAGCAGGACGCCGAGGGCTGAGAATCCTCGATCGCCGCGCAGGGGCCCCGCGGTTACGAAGGGAGGGACGACCCTGGTGCTGGAGATGCACGAGGAAGGGAGATCTGTGAGCTCCGAAGCTCGGGAGGCGCCGGTGGCTGAATATACCTCCCTGGGATGCGCCCCTGGCACAGCCCCAGTTGGGAAGGTGTCGGCTCTCCTGTCCTTGCAGCTGAGTTCGGTGCCTGGAGAGCGGGGAGAGAGAGAGAGAGAGAGAGAGAGAGAGAGAGAGAGAGAGAGAGAGAGAGAGAGAGAGAGAGAGAGAGAGAGAGAGACCCAAGTCGCGAAGAAGCGCTCCCCCCACACCCAGCCTTCTCCGTGCACCTGCGCCCCTGTCCCTGGCCTTTGCGAGGATGCTTTGAGAGCTTGTCGGGTATTTCTGAGAAAGTCAAATGCCTTCTGCAAGGTGGAGAAGGGGTGTTTTTATATAGTCAGTTTGTAAAAGAGAAGAATAAATATTCCGGAAAATATAGGGAGGCAAAAGGAAAAGCTGTCAAGGTCCTCACAGTACAATTTTCTCCCTGCCTCAGCGCCTCCGCCTCCCCGTAAGTGACGCAGATGTGCGCTGGGGCCTATATGGAGAGATGGAGGGAGGGAGCGAAGGCTTCAATCTTCTTTATGCAAGTGAAGCTGCTGCTCTTATTGTCCCTTTGCGTGGGTCCTGTCACCTTTCTTCGTTCTCCTTCTTCACTACATTACGGTGTAGCAATAAAAGTATAGCAAACAGGCATTATGCTTTAGCATCAGTAAACACCAAATATGAATCATGGCAGCGTAAACTTAATGGGCTGCCATCGGTTTGCAGGTTGAAGGTTAATGGCTTGAATTATTTAATAAACCGCATCCTTTAACCTTTAGCCTTAGTTTCTCTGTAGTGAGACACAGGAGAAACAGGGATGCTGGCGTCAAAGGATGATGATGCCACCATTCTGACACTTGCACTGTGATTCTGTCATTAATGTACTCCAGCAGTGCTTCACCCTGGGGACCAGAGGCACACAGGAGAAATTTGAAGATGGGCATCTAAGGACAGGGGACCAGGATTGCAAAATCGGTGCATTTGGTGTGTAGCTTTAGAATGAGAACTCTTCTCAGTGTAAACTGGGAGTGGAATAAAATGCCAAAAGAGAATTTCAAGGCATAATCTTTTAGTACACAAATCATGACATAAAATGCATGGAATAATTTAGGCAGTAAATAAACACAGTAGTCTATCTTATCTGGGGAAAAATTTTCAAGACTCCCAGTGGATCCCTGAAAACCAGGGATAGCACAGAATTCTGTGTATACTAGGCACCCCCTCCCCCAATACATTTCACTTAAAGGAAGCACTTTATGGTTTCTTTTTGGCATATCCAAATGGCCAGCATCACAACTTTTGTGTTTTGGGGTCATTATTAAGTAAAATAAGGGTTACTTGTACACAAGCACTGCCATACTTGGATTGTCATTCTGGTAACCAAGAGGGTTTCTAAGTGATCTACTGGCAGGAAGTATATGCAGTGTTGATAAGCTGGACAAAGGGATAGTTCCCATCCTGGACTGGACTGAGTGGAACAGTGCAAGATTTCATCATGCTACTCAAAATGGTGCACAATTTAAAATGTATGAATTGTTTATGTCTGGAATTTCTATTTGATCTATTTGGCCTGGGGTTGAACGCAGGTATCTGAAACCATGGAAAGAGAAGCTGTGAATAAGGGGGGATTACTGTACATATATCCAAAGGCTACTATCCTACAAAAATCTTCTGCTTGAAGAGGGAAGATGTGTCTGCCTTTATAGCTACAGTAAGAAGGATGATGATTATGATCCCTTTCTAACTATAACTGGTTGGAGATTTTTTTCACCGTTGCATTTAATGAGCCATTAAAATAGAACCCAGTCCCCTTTCCTGAAAGCAAAAGGAGGCTGGAGAGTTAGCGGGTTCTCTACCTGAGCCTGAAGTATGGTGGTCGTCCGTTCACGAAATTCACAGTTCCAGCAACCCCAGCAGAGCCCAGGAATCAAACATTACAGCACAGTTATATTACTGCTCTGGTATCCCTTTGTTAAGCAGTAAACTTAAATAGAAACCAACACTAAATATGAAGTCCTGCCTAGACAAAGTTTGACATTTGAATAAAACAAGAAATTAAGCACAAAAAAATCTCGACTTTTAAGGGAAGAAAAGTCACTTTTGTGCATTTAAAATATTGATTTATGCCACAACAGCTGGAGTGCGATCTCTATGCCTTGATTTTTCTTTCAGTATTCAGTGTGTTTTTTTAAAAACAAAAAGCCCTTTAAAGCAAACAATAGTGACAGGTCATTTTTATCTAAGAACTGAATCAAGTATTTCCTTTAGGGAAGGAAACAGTGTATGAAATTACACAACACAAACAGTACGAAGAAAATTTTCCATCAGAGGTTATGTAGAAAATTGTAGCGCATATAATTAAATGATTTCTACACCAACTGATGTTTTGTGGATTTTCTACCTTGATATCACTTTTCATTTAATTAAAATATAAATAATACAAGAATGCTATTTTTACATTTTCATCATTAATATCAATACCTGTTCAAGAATGGTAATTAAACTTTGTTTTGGTTGTTATCCTGAAATCCCATTTTGTATTCCCCTTCCACTCTGCAGTACTTTGTTTAAAGATCAGTAATTTATACAATCCAAAACACATGTAATATTGAGTTTTAGTAAAGGAATATGAATTAAACATATTAAGGCATACTTAACAGATGAAAATTGATATGTTAGACTTTTTTTTTTTTTTTTTATCCTCACTCGAGGACATTTTTCCATTTTTTTGTACAGATAGAGTGGGAGGGAGAGAGAGGAAGAGAGAGAGAGAGGGAAACATCGATGTGGAAGGGACACATCGAGTGGCTGCCACCCGCACGACCAACCAGGGCCGGGGACAAACTGCAACCGAGGTACATGCCCTTAGCGGGAACGGAACCCGGGTCTCTCCAGACTGCAGGCGGACGCTCTAACCGCTGAGCCAAACCGGCAAGGGCAATATCTGTTAGTCTTATAGTCATATTTAATCTTCTTGAAACACTGTTTCAGCCTATTATTCAAACTAGCTACTTTTCTATATTTATCAACCTGCATACAATACTCTTGCTGGGAAAGATATTTAAATACATTTATCTAAATTAGCCAATAAGCCCAGCTGGTGTGGTTCAGTCGTTGAGTGTAGACCCATGCACCAAGAGGTCACCAGTTCGATTCATGGTCAGGACACATGCCCAGGTTGTTAGCCCAATCCCCAGTGGGGGGCATGCCGGAGGCAGCCAGCTGATGTTCTCTCTCACTGATGTTTCTATCTCTCTCTCCCTCTCTAAAATTAAATAAAGAAAAAATTAAAAATTAAAAAGTTTTAAGTGAGCAAATAAAATAAGATTTAGAAAAATAAAGTATGCCTAAAATTGTGGTAAAGAAAATAATTAAAGAAGATGACATATTTTTTAACTTTATTGTTACTATACTATTATTGGGAAAGAAAGAGGGAACAAAGGAAAAAATAAAGTAATAAGGAAGGAACGAGGAAAGAAAAAGAAAGAAATGAAAGGAAAGAAGGAAGGAAAAGAAGTAATTTACTAAGGTATAACTTAGGTTTACATAGTAAAAAAAAAAACCTTGAAAATATATGTTTTTTGATATATAGCACTCATTTATCTATTTATCCACTAGTCAAAACAAAAATATTTAATTGAGCACTTACTACATACCGAGATTGATGCTAAGAAGTAACAAACATGGAAGAATTAAACTCCTTGCAGCTGGCTGGATAATCTAACAAGGGATGAGTGTTGAGCCAGTCCTAAATTACAATGCATTTGTGAGTCAATTAAATTAAGATTTGAGATAACCAAGCTTATACATAAGAAGACATTGACATAAGAAAAATCACTTTTTAAGAATCTTAATAATCACATTACACTTTGTTTCAAAGACAAAATAAATTTATTTTCATCTTAATGTTTATTTAAATTGAACTGTCATTTTAGTCAATGAGGATCTTTTACATGATATGAGTGTTTATATTATTACCATGGTTCCCTGGCACATAGTAGCAAAAAGGTTAATTAGGATACTAAACATCTGGAGGATATTCAATCATTTGCTACTAAACACATATATAAAACTCTTCATATAATTGCTAAGCTTAACATGCGTGTTCAATATAGCACACTGAAAGTTCCTACAACTCAAACATTTAAGCAATAAACAATAGATTTGGATCCAAACATTTTCTTGGCTGAAAAGTTTCCTTTAGTAGTTGTTTTCTACATAAGTTTAATTAGATGTGTGCTTATCCAGGAAAAGTGAATTCTGATTCTCTTGAGTCTTTTTGACAGCCCTCCTACAATGACTATTAAATTGCTTCTATATAATAATATAGGTAATTATAATCCAATTTGAAAATTCATGACATGATGGTTTCTATATATTTCCTTAAAAAAAATGTTTTTATTGATTTTTTTAGAGAGAAAGAAAGGGGCGGGGACATAGATCAGCTGCCTCCTGCAGGGCCCCCAATTGGGATCTAGCCTGCAACCCGGGCATGTGCCCTGACCAGGAATCAAACCGGTGACCTTTTGGTGCACAGGGCAATGCTCAATCCACTGAACCACACCAGCCAGGGGGTGGGGAGAGTCCTCTATATTTCTCATTTTTATTTATCTTTATCTCATTTTGAT